ATGTTTTACTGCACGTTGGATGGAGTTTGCTTGTTTTGAACTATAAGGATGTGAATGCCTTTTATACTTGTTTTCCACTGACTTTTTAGTTCTAGTTTTTTTCTGAGAATACTTCAACTCATTTAAGTTGAATTAAGTTAATGAAATCATCCTATTTAGGAAGAAGTTTATTTGTTCATTCATTTCTTTCACAAATGATTATTGAACACATCTTAGGTGCTAGGCACTGGCCAAGGCACTGGGGATCTAAGCGGTGAACAAGACAGATAAAGTCCTTCCCTCATAAAACTTTTGAATAGGAAGAGATAGACATAAGCAAGTAAATAAGATAATTTGTGACCATACCTTTTTTTAGTGCATTCTGGTAATTAAAGTTTGCTAGAGCCTTTAATGTCTTTTTAAAGATGTTTTCTGGAGTTGAACTTTTTAATATGTATTGGAATGTTTTTGTTCCTTTTTTCTCCCTGATTAACAAAAAATCAGAGAAATTGCATTAATTTAAAATTTTCATCAACTTTTACCAGAAACTTTTTCCATGTAGGTTAATTTTCACACTTACCAGGTCAACAGTAATTATTGTTTCCTTGCTTTCTTAGCTAGACTTAACACTTTCCTAGGATTTAGTTCAATGGAAAGCTAGAAGTTTGTTAACTTATAGGGTAGTTCATTGTCATTATTTCAGGGGAAGGTGTGTGCTAAGTGGGTGTTTCCAGGACTGAAAGAAATATGGTGTGATAGTTTTGAAAAGAGGATGTCCTCAGATGGAGAAAAGAAGATGACAGATATTTGAGAAATTCTTTTAATGGACTCTCTCAAGTGGTCTCTCCTCATTTGGATTATGAACAGTGAGTGGGTGAGTCCCCAGATAAGAACAGTGTATTCCTGAGGAGGCCATTGTGTCTTGATGAGATGGGTCAATTTATAGGGAAGGGTAGGTTACAAGTCTGTCAGTGTATACAAAGTATTTTCTTAGTTATGTTTTAAGGGTTTTTTTTTAATAGAAATTTTCAAATCTTTAAAAATAGAATGGTATAAGGAACCCAGTGTAAGCATCACACAACTCCATCAGTTATCAGTTCGTGGACAATGTCTTTTCTTCTGTAATCTCCCTTCCCTCCACAATTCCCTTCTTTATCCTCCAACTACTGCCCCACCCTCATTATTTGTAAGCAAATCTTAGACATCCTAAGTAGAAGGATCTTTTAAGGGGCTTGTTTTAAGATAGGACAGACCCCTACAAAAGTGTATATTATGTTCTTGAAAGTGTGTTCTTTGGAAGAATGTAAGGAAAGATATATTCTGAGAGTTTGGGTTTTTTGGTTGGAGGGAGATCATGTTTTTTAAATGGTCATGTAACCTGGATGGGTCTCATCTTGGGAGGGATGAGAGGATATATAAGAAGAAATTTTATTAAGTAGTAATACATAAAGTTTTCTAGAGTTGAGAGTACATATTCAAATGATCAAAGAATTGTTTCTTAGAGTGGGAGCTACACACATGTGTATACTAAGTGGGTGTGTTCGGTCACAGCTAAGCCAACCCTGGGCTTATTTTGAATATTTTCTCAGGATGTATATCTGTTCTGGTGGTAGCAGTGTTCTGGGGGTTATGGGTAAGGCAATTTTGCTCTAGCTTTAAAATCAGGTGCTGTCGTGCCGAAGTGGAAGTTGGTATATTATAGAATGTTTTCTGGAGCATATACTAAATGAGGAAACAGGCTTTAAGGAGAAGTCACTGTTTTTTTCCATATCCCTCCGTTATTCGTTTCTGTTTTTTCATTCTACAATTCTAGAATTCTTGCCACTTTCAGAGCCAAACCTTGACGCATTTAGTTCTTTACAATTGTGTGGGGTTTCACCCTCTCTTTTGTAGTTATTATTATTTTTTTATAAATAGTTATCAGTTGCTATAATGTATAAATACTAAAAAGAGATCTGTCTAATTCAAATAGATATTATCAATATGTTTACAAACTTCTGCTATTTTTCTAAGAGGTTGAATTCTACTTCTCTTAGATTTTGAAAAAAGATTTTTTGGTTTTTAGAGTCAGGAAAGCACTTGATTTATACATGATGATAATGATGATGATAGAATGTTTATTGAGCAATTACTATATCCCAGGCTCTGTTTTAAGCACTTTTCCTGCATTAGCTCATTTGATCTTTACATAACCCTATGATTTAGATAATTTCATTATCCCCATTTTAGAGGTGAGAAAGAGAGTTTAATTTGCCCTGGTTGTGTCTTGTAAATGGCAAAAAATAATTTAAATGTAGGTAGTCCAGGTCTGGAGTCTTATGTTTTTAATCACTGCGGTTGGTACCAATGTCAGATGTTCTCAAAATGAGTTTTGTGTCCATGTTCTTAATTCATTTAAAATACTCCTGAAGTGTCTCTTGAGATTAGGGAAATTTTGCTTAATGAAATAACTTGGTCCTAAGACATAGTTCCTCCTGTTTGTGTATAATGAACACTATACTTGAAGCATAAGGGAGACTCTAAGGCTGCATCTATGTACATAGCATGGTGGGCTTTAGCTTCCTGATTAGAAAGCTAAATGCCGCCCAAGCCTAAGCCCTGAAGCAGTATTGGCACACGTATTGACGTGACACTTCTTTTCTCCTCACACTTAACTGGGTGGTTCTAGGTTATGATGTTAATAGTTGAGTAGAACATTATAGCATATTAAGAAAAGAGGTAATTAAGATGGCTAGCTTTTCTCCACCATAGCCTTCTCTCTTTATTTGATAACTGATGGAAAAACTCAGTTTTCC